GCGGGGCTTGCCCGTTGACCACACCTTCCACTTGCCCGAGGTGAATGCATCCAGCTGTAGCTTGAGCCACCTCTCCGGCACGAGGTACCAACTGCGCCGTGCCAGCGTCATATATGGCAAGGCATCGTACCTCTCACACAGCAGCAGCGTGAAGTCAGTGGGAGACCCGTCCGAGGCGATGCAACACCCCGAGCCCGCAGGCCCCGTACACGTGCCTGAGGGACCGTCGTGAACCGTGGCAGAGGCCCACACTGAGGGCCAGCGCACTTGGCATCTGTCGCCGTCTGCTGAGGGCAGCGACTGAGTGTGCGGTGTCGGCTATCTACTCATGGCTGCTTGTTGTCTTCATTTCGCTGCTGGGTTCCCCGTGCCATGGCGATTTCTGTTTCTGTGGATTTAGTGCAGGTCGATGTGAATGAATTCCAAGAGCACTCCCGTGTTACGTGTGCGCATAAGTTTTATATTAGTTTTAGTTGGGGCCTCTGTTCTCCTATATGCATATATACATATATATAGCACCCATGGGCAATTAAGCTTTTTTCTTCAAACTGGAAAAGGAGAGTAAAAGGTGTAGGCACAGCTGCCTCTCATTGAGCGTGAGGAGGACGTCCACAAAAACGTTTCTGCGCTGAGGGGTGGGGGTTCAGCACGCTTTGCTTTATTGCCTACTGTTGATGTTGTTGTTTGTGTGTGCCTTTGCTGCCCTTCAGGGGGGTGGCAAGTCTTAAGTTGGATGGAGGCCTATGAGTTGTTTTTTTGTGCGTGTAACCTTATCCAGTAACATAATGTTTTTCCCACCTTCTTTCTTTTTTGTGTTTGCCGTGGCCGCATTACCGTTGGCCGTGTGTGTGTGTGTGTATGTGTGTGTTGTTCCTTCCACATGCAACTGTGACCTGTCTCCTTCTATGATGGAGATGTCAACGCCTCTTTTTTTTTCCATTTTTACTTTGCATCTCCGAGGAGGTTCTGGCGGCGTACAACGCCGTATATATTTCTCGACCCCCTCCTCTGTGTGTGTGCGTATGTGGACGTGTTGTTTCTTTTCTGACGATTACCAGCTCGCACACTCTCTTTTTTTAAAAGAAAAAGTTATGATTATTGTTATTTATCTCTCTCTGTGTGTTTGTGTTTGTGTGATTACTTTATTTTTCAGGCATCCTTCCACATACGTTTCTGTGGGCGTGTGTGTGTCCAGCTGCTGAGCGGCATGCCACGGCCACTGGACTTTTGCTGTTTTTCTTTGGTTGCGTGTTACAGAGCGGTGCAGCCAGCAATACGTAGAGAAGCGCTTTCATTGACACGCCCAGTGTGGCATCCCCGCCCCTCCGGCCTGCACCAGCCTTCGCTCTTTTTCCAGCTTGGGCGCCGCCCCTCATGCTTCTTTCATTCCTTTGTTATTCTGTGATGTAGGTGATCTTCGCTAGCAACAACGCGCCGCCATGCAGTTGAATTTTGACACGTCATCGTTTATAGTTTTCATTATTGCAGTCATTCTGGTGGGCAGCATCGCAGCATTCATTCCTCAAGTTCGAGAATGGCTAAAGCAACGAGCGCGGTCGCGTGAATGTCCACCGGCCGAGCCTTTTGCGCCATCGGTGCGGTTGCCGGTGGTTGTTGACGCGGCGGTGGTTTTCACTTCCCACGAGGAGGCTCAGCGTCAAGTTGAGGCAGGCGTCGCGCCGATCACGCGCGTGCAAAGCGAGGTGCAGGGGCCACGCTTCAGTTCTTTCCCTAGCCACTTCGGCAGCTCCAACGCTACGAACGAAGGGAACACAGCGTCTCGGGTATGGCCGGAGGTCATGCGGGGCTTGCCCGTTGACCACACCTTCCACTTGCCCGAGGTGAATGCATCCAGCTGTAGCTTGAGCCACCTCTCCGGCACGAGGTACCAACTGCGCCGTGCTAGCATCATATACGGCAAGGCATCGTACCTCTCACACAGCAGCAGCGTGAAGTCAGTGGGGGACCCGTCCGAGGCGATGCAACACCCCGAGCCCGCAGGCCCCGTACACGTGCCTGAGGGACCGTCGTGAACCGTGGCAGAGGCCCACACTGAGG